GGTTATCCCATGTTCCCCTTGTAGACTTACTAATTTTCGGTCTTAGAACTTCAGCACATACAATCAAGCAAACTTTGGTTTGCTTTAAGACAGTAAAAGCAAAGGTGACGCGACAGTGAGAGTGACATCGATTATGTAAACGAAATTCATTAAAACTTAACAGGTTTATTGTTAATATTCATGAATATTTTATTCATTTGTTTAGGAAATAAGATCGTTTTCGTGTTTTCTCTTCGGTTGTGTGAAGGAAGTACTCCAGTAGTAAACTTTGTACTTTTACTTTTTGAAACGTACCAACTAAACAAATTATTAATACTTTAAAAAAAAATGACTGACCTCAGTTAAGGGGAGAAAACTGACCGAGATCGGTGTTGCTATTTTAAATAAAGAGCCGTTGGAAAAGAGATGTTGAAATTTAAAAATTCAAATGTGTTCGAAGTATTCAAAAATAATCAGCAAATATTTTTTTTATTTATTTTTATGCACCCAATTATTTATACTTTAACGTTAAATTGCAATGATATTTTCGAGCGGGATACTGAAAAAAAAAAACAACTCTCAAACTATCATGAAGATATTCCTAAATAATTCTGATGTTTGACTATTTTGTTTGATTTTGGTAAGTGGGTCGAGCTAAGAACTTGGCAAAAGCCAGCAAATTGGGACGATTGTGTCAAATCTTCAAGCGAACCTGCCTGCGTTAGAAAATGAGCATTCGAAATTTTAATTTTCCCTAGGTTCGAACACCGATCTCTGACACTGTTGCCGAGGAATAATGTACAATAATTTTAGCCACGAATCAAGAATTTATGATTCAATTTTGAACCTGACCATTTAAAAAAATAAAATGTTATCTTTCTTTTTCATGTTGCAAACACAGGTTAATGTTCCAAACTCCTTGCAACTATTAATTTAATATAAACATACAGATTTTTCTTTAATTTGTAGTCATTTTAAATTTGTTATTAAGCAAAAAGTGAAGGAAAAAATGTTTATTGCTTACCTGACAGTACGAAATCATAAGTAAACCCAGTTTAATGTTGGACAACGAAAAGAAACCTAGTTTCTCTGTGCTGCATTCACTTCAAATGATATGAGCACTGACTGACCGAAATTACTAAGTACGTACTAAATAATTACCAACAACTACTAGCTTAATACCAACACCGATTTTACTAAGATAAAAAATTGCTTTCCTCCTATCTTTAATAGTAAAAAGGAGGCTATTTTCATACCAGCAATTTCTCGATTGACAGAGCAATGAACTAGAGATCATCAAATCTTGATTTGAATTGTTCCTATCTCATTTCTAGTATATGAGTCGTACATTGGCAGAAAAACAGCTGTCACGAAGGATTTATTGGCAAAATACTAGAGACTCCGTCCATAGTCTACACAGACTAATGTTAATAAATAAATAAATAAAATAAAGCCTTTTTCAAGATCATTGTAATTAAATTAAGACTTTTAATTAAAATGATCTTAATTTAAGAGGAGCGAATTTTAATGTGATTGGAAAGCATTTGACAATTCAAGATCCTTGTTAAAGCTTAGTGTTGAATTTTAAGGGGCTATATATGACGACTCGTTAAATTTATAAAATAGAAATTTAAATGGGTTTCCACAAATTGTAAAAATAGTTGATGCTGTTATACCCCGTTGCAATTAACTCTCTTTCTGATTCATTCTGCATGTCGGTCGGATGTGAACGGCATGAAGGTGGAGAACAAAATAAAAAAAAGTCGTTCTCTGCGCATAGTCTCCGAGCATCACGTCCGGTTACCGAAACAAGCCACCGCAATGAAAGCGACACTGGCAAATCGCGAACGTTCCCGCCGGAAAAGGAGATGCCTTGGGGACTGCTAGATGTGCTTAAAAACAGGTCTCTCATAATGCGGGCGGGAGGGCCATCTGCCGACACGTAGGATGCTGCCTCCGCTATCGACATGACCGCAGCTCTCAATGACCGTTACCACTCCCGGGCTTGACAAATCACCCGACTCTTCATATACAGAATCCAGAATCTCATCTCAACTTCGACACCGCCAGGCCCAAGACACCAACTGTCGAGATTGATAATATCTCAACGTCGACACCACCCAGCTACGAGCCTTCATCAACCGGACTCACTACAGCAGACGTATATTCAGCTTCAACACCACCAGGCCCAAGACGCAGAACGTCGCAATTAATAGCATCTCAACGTCGACACTACCCAGTTACAAACCCTCCTTGTCGTCAACTCCGTCACCTCGGCAAACCCGACTCAATACAGCGACTCCACAAGTAAGTGACTACGGCTCCGCAATTCACACGGCCTACCACCATCTCGTAGATAACCGGCCAAACAGCTACACCAACCTCGTCACCTCAGCAACCCACCGCTGTCACCTCGCTACAAGCATCCCTTTGTAGTAGTCACCGTGGCCTCGTTTCATACCAGTTACACCAATCCAACGTTACTGTAATAATATTTGTTCTATTAATAGCATGCTTAGTAGTAAGTTGAAAAAAGAAACAAAGATGCCTGTGTACTCATACAGGAGACAGCCATCTTTTTTTTTCTGTCGCCACCTATATCTTTATTCTCCATCTTCTATCAACGGGCAGGTAACACCAGCCATACTATGACATCCCTCTTTTCATGAGGAGTGTTGTCCATATAGGATTCACTGGTAATTCTCATGTATGAAAGTTATTTATAGGTTGTATATTTTTTTTGCTTTTTAACACGTCCCAATCCAGTTATTCCAGTTGGTGTGTTGTCATTGGGCTGTGTTTTGTGTGCAGATCTGGTGGTTACCTCAGATGATGTACTGGTGTTGGCATGTCTGCTGGGTGTTTCGCCAGAATAGGTGTTTGGAGTTTTAAGGGGTAGGGGTTTGGTGTGATGCTGAGAGGTTTTGAGAAGCGGTGTCAGTGTCTTATCAGAATTGCTGAAGTCTTCCTTAAGTTGCCTACGGTTTTTGCGAAGGACCTGTTGGGATTTCAACGATGTAGGACTGTGGTTGAGAGTAGGCTTTTAATTTCTTGTATCTTGGTCTTGTACCCGAACCAGTTCTCCTATGCTAAGGTAAGTGAGATCCTTTGCGTGTTTATCATGCTGTTTTTTTTTTTTGCATCAGTTGTCTGTGGAGTAGGCGATCCCAAATGTCCTCTTTTCGGACATTGTTGTTGATGCATTTTGCAGGCAGGTTGCTGACTAGCTTTGTATAGCAGTTCGCCTGGGGATTGAATGACGTGATTTATTGGAGTTGATCGGAGATATAGCAGGCTCATGTATATGTCTCCGCTGCTCAGCATGGCCTTTCTCATGGCTAATTTAACAGTCTGAATGCACCGTTCAGCCATGCCGTTCAATTGCAGATATCTGGGAGATGAGGTGATGTTCTCAAAGTCCCATGACTTGGCAAATTCCTCGAAGCGATGAGAGCTAAAATGCGACCCATTGTCACTGAAGAGCCTTTCTGGTATTCCCTGTTCAGCAAAAATTTGCTTGGTCAGGCTGATGACTTCCTGGCTGGAGAATTCCTTTAGTTTGTGAATAAAGGGGTATTTGGAACAAAAGACGACAATGAGGAGGTAGTCGTGTCCCTTCAGGTTGAAAATGTCAGTGGCCACGATGTTCGCGCTGGGATTTCATGTGGCATCAGGGTCTCGACAACTTGGGACTTCTGGTGCTCTGGACATGTGGCACATTGCTGTATTATTTTATCGATGTCGCTATTTATGCCACTCCAGAAGACGCAGCTTTTCGCTCTAAGTTTGCATTTGTCACTCCCTTGGTGACCATAATCTGTTTTCTCCATTATTTCGGGTTGCATTGTTTTGGGGATCAATATTCTGTCACCTTTCAGCAGTATGCCATTCTCGATAGAGAGCACGTCTCGATAAGTTTCGCCTCAGTTCTCTTAGAGTTTCTGGCCAGTCTTGTAGAATCTGATCTCTTAAATCACACAATTTTGGGTCGGCATTCGTCGCTTGATAGACCTGAGCTAATTTCTCAGTTGAGAATTACACGAAATCTACTTTGAGGTCTAAATCAATGACTTCTCTGTTTTCCTTATTTGGAAGTCTAGATAGTCCATCTGCCAGCAGCATCTCTTTGCCTTGTCGATATTTGATGACCATGTCGTATTCTTGGAGCCGTAATAGCATTCGTTGAAGTTGGGGAGGTGCCGTTGTTAGGTTCTTGAGGCAGATCATTTCCAGGGGTTTGTGGTCGCTTTCGACCTTGAATAAAGACTCGTAACTGTACACCCAAAATTGTTCGCGGTTAAAAATGACTGCCAAGTGTTCCCGCTCGATGTTTGCATGGCGCTGCTCTGTTTTGGTTAGGGATTTTGAGGCGAACGCTATGGGTTTGCCTTCTTGAATTAAGGCTGATCCTAAGCCTCTAGACGATGCGTCAACTTTTATTATGGACTTTTTAGACGAGTCATAATATTGGAGCAGTATTTCTTTGTATATTAGGTCCTTTATTTCTTGCGGTAACTTCTGGTGGCTAACGTCCCACTTGTAGCTAGCATCTTTTTTCAGGAGTTCTCTAAGGTTTGCCTTAAGGTCAGAAAGCCTCTGAAGGAATGGCGTCATTTAGTTGATGATTCTTAGTACCTTCTGCAACTTTAATATTTGTTGGGCTGGTAAGTGATTTTATTTCTTCCACTTTTCTGGGATCTGGCTGTATCTCATTCTCGTCGAAAACGGCACCGAAGAATTTTACTTGCTTCTGGGTGAGTGCACATTTGTCACTGTTGAATGTAAGGTCTGCAGTCTGCGCTGTCTTCATCAATTTCCGTGAGTTCTGGTCGTGCGCCTCTCTGGTTTTCCCAAAGATGATCATATCGTCAATCAACGCCAATGCCCCAATGCACTTCTCTATTATCATGTTCATCTTTAGTTGGAACACCTCTTGTAGCATCACGAATCCGAAGGGCATTCTTTGGAAGCAGTATCTTCCAAAGGGTGAATTGAATGTGGTTAGCAGCTGTGACTCCTAGTCAAACTTGACAGACCAGTATCCATTTTTTTGCACCCAGTTTGAAGAAGAATTTAGCTCTTGACAGTTTATGCGTGAGCTCCTCCGTAGCTGGGCTTTTGTGATAGCAACGCATGATGTCTTTATTTAGGTCTTCAGGATCTAGACACAATCGGAGTTTGCCATTATTCTTGTGGACATATACAATACTGCTAACCCAATCTGTGAGATCATCGACCTTGCGGATTATTCCCTGGGGCATCATTTCGTCTAGTTCCGCCTTGATTTCGTCTCTCATGTGGATGGGGCATTTCCTTGGGGCATGTACTATCGGATGGGTGTTTGGTCGAAGTACGATGTGGTACTCCTCTGTGAAGTGACCAATCCGATCTAATTTTTCCGGGTATGCTTCTATCAGATCTTTAGCGAAATCGATTGTGGTGCAGTTTGAAGAAGTAACTGGAGCACACGTTGCAGAATTGGCTGGGACACACTTTGTTTTCTGGATGGCACAGTGCAGAGTAACCAGCTCTAAGTCCTTAAGGGAGGGTAATCCTAATATGGTAGGACACTTGGAGGTCACAACATAAAATTTGATGTATCCCCATTCACCCTTGTAGGCACATTGAATCTGTACGGATCCGTGTTGTGGAATATTGGATCCGTTGTAAGCGGTCATTACTGTCGTTTCTGTTTGTGTTGTGCCGGGGAGTGGTTGTCCATTCCGGTCTACCCACTTAGGAGACATCTGCTGGAATATACGTAAGGGGAGTGTATTTCCCTCTGCACCTGTGTCCACCTTGGCTTTTAGGTTGTGTACGCCTTTTCTGTTCGGTAATATTATGTCCAGTGTGACGAATGCCTCAGTCCGAGAGTTCTTTATTCCGTGCTTTTCCATAGTATAGAAAGATATCTTCTCGTAGCTGTCTTATCTGGTTCTGAACGTGAATTGACTTCTGATATTGATTTTTATATGTACTGGACTGTGTTGGTGCGGATTTTTGGTGTTTCTTAGACCAGTTTGGCTGCCTATCCGCTTTTCCCTTGACCTTTCTGTTATGGCACATATTAACTCAATGGTTTTTCTGTACACATGCTGAGCAAAGGCTACCTTAAGCAGGGCATTTCCCATTTTGATGGATAAGTTCACATTTACAACAATTATCTATATTTTCAGGTTTGTGCATTATTGCACTGATTTCGCTGTCGCTTTTCCCCTGTAATTCACCCATTTGTTTCATGCAGTTGGCTCCTACAAATGTTGAGCATTACTTGCATGGACATCTCGTTTTTGCTGAGTAGCTGTTTTTGTAGGTCTGAATATTTAGTCCCCGTAATAATCTGGTAAATTATTCGCTCTTCTGTCTCCCAGTCGTCTCTAAACTTGTATTTTTGCGCTTCAAGCCTACATCTCGCCAGGAAATCGTCGATATTCTGTTTCTTTCTGCGAGTATTTTTGAAGGTAAAAACATGCGATCCGGAAGTTCGTTTGTGGCTCTATTTATTCTAAAATCTTTCGCCAAATAATTACTGGGTTGCGTCTTTCGGCCTCGTTTTCGAACGTCCATGAGTTGTAACGTCTTAAACTCTCTATTTCTGATAGTAAAAGAATGTGGTCTATTTGTTTTCTTTTGTTTCTTTTTTTTGGTACAAGGTGCGCTGTTGTTGGAAAAATTCGAAGGATTCCACTAAACTTGACGTTTCCCAGCACATCAATGGTTCACTCGTACTGTTAGACATTGTTATTATCTATTTTCCAAGACAATAAAAAGACTTAAGAAACAGGAATGAAGAAACTCACAATTTCTATCATGGCGCTTGGCTGGATATTAAACGCACGTGACGAATCCTAGCATGAAATTTTATTCACAAAAAACAGGGCGAGGGATACAATGAATATATACAATGAATGAAATAAAACCTGAAAAATAAATAGGTGTTAGTATTGGGTCCCGCCCAAAGGTGAAAATGTGGCAGAATTGCGGGTTAACTGGGTAGAAATATCAGATATTGTTCATATCTGATCTCGCCAGAGAACAAGAATGTCTGTCACCTAGAAAGGAGGAAGGGATGGGGCATAAAATACATGTGGGACCAAAGGGGAACCTAAACACTTGCATCCTCTAGCTAGTTCTGACAAAGTCGATCAAAAGCCTATCTTACATTAACCGGGTCTGGGGTGACTGACGTTTCGGCGCGTGGCCCAATGTCCTTTGTCCTAAGTCGTGTCTAACAACCACTCAAGGTCAGCTCCTCTCACACGCACCAATTGCGAAACTCTCACCCAACATTTGCCGAATTTCAGCGAAGAGAGACGCACCTTTTCCGCCCTGATCTTGACTTTAAGCTGATGCTTAAAGAAAGCGACCAGTTGAGAAGAGGAGAAATTCTCGCCTCCGTGAAATTCCTTCTGTCGCGTCGTCCACACAACCATTCGCATGATGCCAAGCAAACACAAGAGTACATACTGCTGGTCCTTTGTCACTGGCGGCAGCACGTTGGAACAAACCGTGCTGGCATCAAGGACAAAGAACTTTCCGCCCAAGATGTAGCCTTCAATCAGCCTACACAGCAGGTGTACGACACTACAGTGAAGGAAGGCGTGCGCAATAGACTCCTCCCAGTCACCGCAGCGCACGCACATTGGCGTGGCCACCAGCCCCGCTGCATAAAGCTTCTTGCCGACCCAGAGAGCCCCTCGCAACACCAGCCAGGTGAGTGATGCCTCGTCGTTGTTGCGACATTTCAACCCGGGCGCCCATGGCAGTACGGAGCGAAACTCCTCGTTCGTAAGACCGAGCTCGTCCTGGAGTTTGTCTTTTGCCTCTACCCTCACTAAACCCGATATAATGCCTTCTGAGACAACGCCTCGGTGTCGGAGAGGCGATCCTTCACCTCTAAGAGGCGGCACAGCGCATTTAGACATTCCTCATATAAAGGGCATTCGTCTTGAAGCGTTCGGTTTACCTCCGCCTCTCCCGTATGCACACTTCCCAGAGACGGGAAGGCTCAGCGAGCCTCTTCCTTCCAGAAAGCGTCCTCCACATCCTCCCCATTTTCGGTGCACATCCTTTGCAGGAAATTCAGACGCAGCGTGTATTGACGAGTCTCAACGCTGGGCATACCTAGACCGCCTTCTGCAGGATGGAGGCAGCAGACCTCGTGACGTACCAGATGAGACTTTCCTCTCCAAAGGAAATCGAAAAGGGCATCAACGAACTTTTGTCGTTCGGTAGACAGGAGTGGAAGAACAGAGAGACGGTATGATAAACCATCTCAGTAGTAGAATTTATTCACTTTTTTTTTTAATTGACAAACAGGTTTCATTTGATTAAAAAATAATTGCTGACTATCATGAGTTGGAGAAACAATATTGACTATCCGATTTTTATGTGGAAAATTTTGAAACAGGCATATATAATAAACTGTAACTGATAATTGTTCCTTACAATATATCGGTGAAACATGCAGAAAATTAAAGAAAATAAAAAGTATTAAGAAAAATTTACATAATTTATTCAATTCATTGGTTATACACAGAAATAATTTCAAACACAATTTCGATCTAAAAATGCTGCCCTTATTAAAAGAGAGAATTTTGGTGAGTACGAAATAATAATAACTCCCTTTACTTACTCCCTTCAAATTAGGAGGACCGAGGAAAATACGGAAAGGAATTCGTGAGCCTATGTGAAATTTCTTTTCGACAAATGAAAACCACTCCTTCAAAGAGATTGACCAGTAAACCGAGAAAAAGACGGGAATAAATTTGCGAGCCTATGTGAAATTGTTTTGAACCAATGACAATTTTGTCCTTACAGAAATTATCCGTTGAGCCAAAAAAACAAAAAAAAAGAAAGAAAGAAAAGAAAGTAGCGAGCTTATGCGAAATTCTTTTTGATATGAAATGAGGAGAAAAATTAAAAGTGTCTGAAGGCATGTGAAAGTCTACATCAGTGTCAAATTACTCATTTATATTATAAATTATATTATCGGCCTTTTAACCAAGCACGCAACACATCAAATAACTTTCTTTCAACAGTCCAAGAAAGCTAAGTATTTTAAACCATCTCTCTTCGTCTACTTTTGAATGTGTGCAATCCAAGGTGATTCTTATATCAGGCCTCTACACCATGATGAGGCCTGTCAGCAACTGTGGGCTAACTGTTAACACATGAAAAATCGTTGCTGGAATTGGATTAAGAAATTAACTATTTTGTTAGGAAATTTTTACCTTTGGATTAACTTAAGTTTATTATTTAAAATACTGAAGAAAGTATAATATTTATGTATTTTATCTGAACCTGCATATTTTATTTCTGTAAACATTTTTTTCGGTGCGAAATACACAAAAGCGTCACTAAGAATTCATAACGTTAACTTAAATTTAATATTTTTCTCTATTTTTTTCTCTTAATATGTTCATTGTTGAAGAACAATAGTTCCTCAACAATGAACATATTAAGTATAAAATTAAATTTTTATGAATATTTTTCTTTGACAGAACAAACATTTTTTAAAGTATGTTGAATTTTTCTGTCCTTCGTAAATAAATAGAAGACATTATTAAAAATTAGGTACCTCTATGAGAACGCTAAAAAATAGTATAGCATGATGAAAAAGACACCAAACTTGACGAAAACAAAATTTTATCGTCTAAATGTTCATGTTATTATTAAGAGGAAAAATCAAAGTATTTTGGGGTATTGTTCACATTTTTTAATCGTTCCTAGCACGTCCGAAATTTTCGTTAAAATCTTGTTTTTTTTTTGGCAGATAATCAATCATGGTAACCATTTTTTCCATTTTATAAAAAAATGAAAATCTCAGTTTGAAATTCTTTTAAAAATCAATTATCATTTTTTCAGAACTTATTTTTTAAAAAAATCAGAAATTATAATGTTTATTTAAAATATTTTGAACCAAGCTTAACTTAGCTTCTGCGCCGAAAAGATGTAGTTTGAAAATAAAACAAAGCAGGTCATAACATTTCGCGTCATTTGACAGGTCAGGAAAGACATTTTCATGAAGCTTTGATAGCTTATAATTTCTTCTACGGAAGGAGAAAAGTGAAGTTATTTAGATTTAAGTGAACAAATTATTTACCTCGTTATTTTTAAGGAAAACTTTCAGCGCTCACATTTTATTTTTGTACTTAGCTTTCACCTTTACGTTTACGATGCTTTATGGAAAATATATTATAAAGAAATTAAAATAGGACTGTTAAGAGTGAGATTAATTTTCATAAGAAAGGTATTTAATTAATTTATAGGTACCTTTCTTATGAAATTGGTTGAAAGATTTCTTTTGGGAACGTCGGTGTCACCAATTGTAAAGGTGTCCGTTTGTAGATAGACCAATACTATTTATATTAACGATATTCCCAACGAACAGGATTTAAGTAAACAACAATAACTCCAAATCAACCAATATATATTGAAATAACATACAAGAACAAACATGCAATAAAATTGTGTCCAATGCATAGATTAAGGGAAAGAAGTTGTTCCCCTTTAACTGTAGAATGATTTATAATTAATTGTTCGAAGAAAGTTCTCTTGAGAGAAAAATGTTCAGAAATCAATATTAGAGTATGCATGTTAAGAATAAATAACACAAGAATACAATTAATTAAAAATATGTTGTGCATAAAATGGTTTGAATCAACGGAGTTCTGGTTGATTGATCTTGGCAAAGTCACAGAGAGAAATGTAAGTTTATATTGCGAAATTCTGTCTGTGTGTGCGTTTGAAATGTGACGAGTAAGATCTGTGCTGACGGCTGGAATCTTACGGGATCTTAGTGACGACTTACGAAAAGTCGCCTCTTTTAAGGAAAAAGTGTAGGCTCCCACGGCAACGCGGGTGTTGTGGTAGGATCCACCTAATTTGCATAGTG